TTTTTTTTTTTTTTTTTTTTTTTGGTCTGCCGTTTCTTTCACACTTTAAAAGAGGGGACACTTTAAAAGAGGGGAAACTAGGGTTTCTTTTATTGTTAAATTTGGGTTTTGATGGGCTGGGCTATGAAAATTGTTGATGGGCTCAATATTGGGGTGGATTGGTGGATTTGTTTTGGTAGATTTCATCCTCAATTTTTTAATTTTTTCGATTGAGTCGTTTTCTTGTTATTTTTCTTGAATTTCTTCACAAAAATTTTATATACCGATAAATCCGAAACGGTACACGAAAAATTCCGATATCCGGTACGTACCGTTCCAGTAGTAAAACCGGTACGTATGCCGGTATGGTATTGATAACTTTGGGAAACCCACGTATACAAAATACCTAGGAATTGAATCCTCTAGAATGAAGCTCTACCTCGGTCCATACGTTTTTCGGAGATGGCCAAATCGTAACTCGAACATCAAGATGCCATGCATAGAGTGATGGAGGGGCCTTTTTGGTTATGAGTTAAGAAAATTTTTATTAAAAATGTGGTTGAATTGTTTTTAAGTGTTAATTAAAGTGCACTTTTTTTGTACTTCGTGAGACGCTAATATTAAGAAAGCTAATAAAAAGATATCAAGTGAATTTAATGGGGTTAATGTATATCAATTTTAATTTTTAAAAATAATTAAAATTTTAATTTATATTTAAAAATTAAAATATTATTTTATTAAATATTAATATCTAAATTTAAAAATACATTATATATTTGAATATGTTAATATTTCATAAAATAATTTTTAAAATTTTGGATTGTATTTTAATTAAATAAAATAACGTAATTTAAAATTTGGATTCCAATTATTTTTGAGAATTTAGACTTATATGCATTTTCTTTATATATATTAGGAAAGTTAGGAAAATTTTTTAATAATAATCTGTGAGTTTTTCTAACTTAAATTTTTAGAATAAAAATTAATAATATAATAATTATATTTTTTAAGATTAATTAATATTAAAAATATAAAAATTATCATTAATTTTATTATTAATACTTTATAAGTTATTTTAATTAAATAATTATTTAAATAAAAATTAATTTATTTTAAAATTTTTAATTTTAAAAAAGAAAAGAGAGAGAGAGAGAGAGACAATCGTTTTAGGAGAGAAGAGTATTTTATCAACCCTTCATTATTTTCGGCAAAATCGAAACCTCAAGTCAATTGCTATAGGATTAGAAACTCAGGTCGATCTCTTGAAAAGTCACACAGGAGT